TTATTTTTAAGTGTATCTTGGGCATCCTTAGCTCTTATCAAGTAGTAACAGTGCCCCAATTTAATCAACTGCTGCAGTTGAGCCCAAGCACCCAGCGGTATTTACATTTTGCAACCAATTACAGTTCTAATGTATATATTTTCTCCTTCTTTCCCAGTTAATTCAATAGAATTGTGTTTATGTTGTCTATTCTCATTAAATAAAAAAAGTGCAGTATTTTTACATTTCCTGTCATACCAACATTTTTATATGTATTGTCATCTATTCTCCTGTGAAATGTCTAACCAAGCTTGTATGATATATAATGCACAACAAAAATAAAGAATGTCAAAAACAAAAATGGCTTTATAAGGCTAAAATATACCACTGTAGCTTCCTAGGACAGTATGTATTTTGATAAATTGTGCTGACATCTTTCTGGACATGAAAACCTCTTAACTGTTGAAAAATACAGAGGTCCGGGAAGAGATCAGTAAGGTCATTTGTAACTATTTTTAGGAAAATGTCTCCACTGAAATCTCTGCTGCTACCCTGTGATAGTCTCATAAGGTGGTCCTGAAAGGCCATTTTATTAAAGGACCACTGTAGTGCCAGGAAAAAAAATTGTTTTCCTGGCACTATAGTGCCCTGAGGGTCCCCCCACCCTCAGCGTCCCCCTCCCGTGGCACTGAAGGGGGAGGAATGGGATAATCCCTTACCTTTTTTCCAGCGCCGGGCTCCCTCGGCGCTGGGACTCTCCTCCCTCTTACGACGTCCCTGGCTGAATGCGCATGCGTGGCAAGAGCCGAGTGCGCATTCAGCCAGTCAATAGGAAAGCATTCTCAATGCTTTCCTATGGACGCTGTCGTCTTCTCCCTGTGAAAATCACAGTGAGAAGCGTGGAAGCGCCTCTAGCAGCTGTCAATGAGACAGCCACTAAAGGCTGGATTAACCCATAGGTAAACATAGCAGTTTCTCTGAAACTGCTATGTTTACAGCAGAAAGGGTTAATCCTAGCTGGACCTGGCACCCAGACCACTTTATTAAGCTGAAGTGGTCTGGGTGTCTATAGTGGTCCTTTAAGGTCAACACCCATAAAAAGCAAGAGAAAACAAAACTCCTCTCTGACCTCCCAACAAGCCTTGTGCCAATCTGAGCAGCAGAACAAACCCCACCCTATGTTAAAAGAGTTACAGGCCCTCTGACAGTCCATTAAAGAGGCTTTGCTAAATGATGTTGCTCGTTGTATACTCTGGTCCAGGTGACAATTTTTTTTACGAAAATTCTAATCAAATGGACAAACCATTAGGCCTTGCCAGGAATTAAATATGAGAGATGATAACATACATGCCTAAAACACAAATTTATGGTCCAAAGATTAGGCAATTCTCTATATGGAATAGCACTAGACAGGGGTGCCCTGGAGGGGTTCAGTCCCTGCCAGTACCAGCCACTAGGAAAGTTCTAACCCACCTATGGGCCATTGACAACTTAATTTGGCAAAATAAACAGCACTGGATAGCTTGAGATGTCTTACACAATTACGGCTTGGGGGCTTCAGTTGCTCCATTAATTCAAATTGTCACCTGGCACTCTCATCCACATCATTTACTGGAGCAGATCTACCCCAATTCAACATGTGGGCCTATTCTCTGCACTACTTGCTTGGAAGTCCTAAATTCTCTTTGAATTTGGAATGCTACCTCACAAAAAAGGAAAAGCTGTAGGAAGCTACTAGTATGTACGCTTGGGAAATATCTTAGGACAGATTGGAGGGGATAACCCTTATGAAAAATTTCAACAAGAAAACAAAGGAACATTATCTATCCTAATGAAATCACGAACATAAAGTAGACACATAAAATATAACATTGAATAAATATTATTAAAAAGATAAAAGAACCTATAAACACGGGAATACAAGGGAGGGTGAAATAGATACAGAGGATATTGCTCTATATTATAAGTACATTTACAAATAAAATACTTTTTAATATAAAATAGAAGGGAAAATGACCAACAGTAAATTCTCTAAATATAACCATAAGCAGTTAGATTTTCTTGAGCTGCAGATCATAGAAATAGTTACATTTCAGTAAAGTCCATAACTGGAAACAAGTAACTAACTTCTAAGCATGTAGCTGTCTGTGACAACAAAAAAGTAAATGTATCTAATAGAGCAAGAAATTGTTAATTCAATTATAAATTTTATCTATTTACTGTAATTCGCCATTGCCGTGTTCAGTTGTAGATAAATGGTGTGTAGTTAAATTATTTGTTTAATCCACGGGCAGTTAATGTCTGAAATGCATAAATCCATTTAGATTCTTTATGTAGTAGGCATCTATTCAAATTTCCTTTTCTGGGATTTGGAGTGAGTAATAGGATAGTCATAGATAGCTATGGTCAAGGTTAGACGATAATAGAGCAAATTCATTAACAAGCCAATAATCAATGAGTACAGAAAATAGAATTAACGAGAAGATAAGTCAAACCAGGAATGAATAGTAAATATAAATGTGCTATTGGGCTACTTAGAACCACAACAGGGCAGCTAAGGGCATACAGATGGGGTTTAAATAAGAAGGACAACAAAGAGCCAAAAGACACGAGAACAGCGGAACAACAAGCAGCACCACTAGTGACATCACTGTAGTGCGCCAGAGTCACTTCCCTATTCGCGTCATAAGAATGTGACCATGAAAGCGGATATAAAAATGTGCTCCTGTGGCCCGCTGCACGAGAAGCCCTGCCTGGATGAGCCAGAGTGAGTGTATCAGAAGTACACTGTTGGACTTGACTATACCACTATTATATCACTGTTAACTAGAAAGGTTACAATTTCAGGGGAAATTGTGTGAAGTGTTCTTGCCTCCACCAGGAGTCTACAACTGGAGAGGGCGGAGTAACTGTTATCATTTACATAGCACATTTAATTGCAACATTGTTGCACAGTTACATTAAACCATACATTTATAAAAACATTAGCAGGTGTTCAAAAGGCCCTGTCTATGACATCACTTGCTGCTGCAGCTTGACACAGGTCAGAGTATTTTGGCGGTTGCCATCTTCAAACGGTCGTATCTTAAAAACTATAACTCCTACAGTGAAGAGCTTTATATTGTGAGAATCACAAGACCCAGACCTACATTTTGATGCATAGTATGTCTCTGAAGTATTAAAAATGAAGGCACAGTCGCAGTTTAGAAATTGCACTTCAAATTTGAGCTTTGTAGAGTGAAGTTTCAATGAATGTCAATGGACGGCGTTAGTTGCAAACAAATGATTATATTGTGAAAACTATCAGGACTACGGCTTAGCCGTTGACATGTTTAGTGGCAGCAGGGATAGCTGAACGTTTTGATATAAGATTTGTGTAGGTGGGCCTGAAAATAAGGGAGTGGTGGCAGTTTAGAAATCATGTCCTGATTTTTCAGCTTTTGCCAGCTCCCACTCTAGCTTTGCCATTCATTCCTATGGGACAAATTTCGCCACAAGAACGACGATATTCCGTGAACCATTCGGCGAAACGTTCCACAAAGTAATAGCAATCCGATCGGGAACAATCTGCACGTTTTGGTAAATTTTTGTCTATGTAGTGTAAAAACTGTGGGAGGAGTTAGGGTGGCAAATTTTGCTATAATAATAATAATAATAACTAGAAAAGCTACAATTTCTGGGGAAATTGTGTGAAGTGTTCTTGCCTCCACCAGTAGTCTACAACTGGAGTGGGCGGAGTAACTGTTATCATTTGTATAGCACATTTAATTGCAACGTTGTTGCACAGTTACATTAAACCATACATTTATAAAAACATTAGCAGGTGTTCAAAAGGCCCTGTCTATGACATCACTTGCTGCTGCAGCCTGGCACAGGTCAGAGTATTTTGGCGGTTGCCATCTTCAAACGGTCGTATTTTAAAAACTATAAATCCTACAGCGAAGTACTTTATATTGTGAGAATCACAAGACCCAGACCTACATTTTGATGCATAGTATGTCTCTGAGATATTAACAATGAAGGCACAGTCGCAGTTTAGAAATTGCCCTTCAAGTTTGAGCTGGCTTGAGTGAAGTTTCAATGAATGTCAATGGAAGGCGTGAGTTGCAAACAAATGGTCATATTGTGAAATCTATCAGGACTATGGCTTAGCCATGGACATTTCTAGTGGCAGCAGGGATAGCTGAACGTTTTGATATAAGATTTGTGTAGGTGGGCTGAAAATAAGGGAGTGGTGGCAGTTTAGAAATCATGTCCTGATTTTCAGCTTTTGCCAGCTCCCACTCTAGCTTTGCCATTCATTCCTATGGGACAAATTGCGCCACAAAAACGACGATATTCCGTGAA